AGCCACTTCAGTGCATGGACCCTGGGGCTTGCATGAAACTGGAACAGTGGAGGGATACTTTGTGCCCTGCCAGCCCTAGCAGCTGACTCCTCTCCCTGTGCCTCTGTCCTGCCTGGGGTGACCCTTGTACACCCATCCTGGTCCAGGGATCCTTATGACACTGTGAGCAGGGGAAGCCTCACAGAGCTGGAGCCAAACTGGGCTGTAGGGTGAACATACCTCCCTCTGCTGGCTGCTTCTAGCTGATAAATGCCTGTGGCTCATAGATGATGTGGTGCCCAGGGGGAAGGCATGCTCACTGGGCAGCCAGTTGGGTGGCCTAGCCACTCAGCTGTGCTCAGCCAGTGCAGGTACACTGCATCCTCCCTACCCCCACCAAAGGGTGAACATATGTTCTGTTCACTCCCGATCTAACCTAGGTTGCTTAGAATAAAACACATAATTTAGATCAATTCTGCCTCAGGCTTTTTGAATGTCTCTGTACCTAGTCTTAGAGTTTGTTTAGACTGGCCCAATACAATGCTAGGACATATTGTAACCAGATGTTCCATTTGCATTATCTACCTAATCAGAAGAACTGTAGGTGACTTAGTGAAGTACTGGGTGCACACTGAGAAGATATACTGTAAGAAAGAGTGCCTCATGGAACCACTTAGGATAATTCCAGTCTGAGGATGATAGGGTATGTGAAGTGGGTGCAACATGTGTCACTGTGGCACTCCCTAGCATCACTTATAGGTAGCGTGGATGTTTCCTTAAGTATTTCGGGACCAAGTCATTCAGGACATTGAAAGTAAGGACTGAGACGTTGACTTCCATTCCAGGTTTAATGGGAGGCTAGGATACAGGCAATCAGAAGATAAATGGGATGTATTTCTGAGGTGTTTTGTACTACTTACAGTTTTCAAGGCGTTATTGGTTTAGTGCATCTGAGATAGTTTGAAGGTATGACTAACTGAAATGCAATCATTGTTTAGCAGGATACAACAGAAAATTCTAACCAACTTGAGAGACTAGAAATATTATTCCTGGATGCAAGCCTCGTACCTGGCTGTCTGAATATCAGTAACAATCACTTTGTATGTTACGTGAAAAATACTTAATATTGAAGATGATCATTATTTGTCCACTACCATTACAATCTATAAGATCACCGAATCTTGCTAATCGAATATGTTCTCTCTCTCTCTCTTTTAATTTAAGAATGATTTATAGCAGATCAAATAGAAAGGCCAGAGGTAGGTAATCAACTTTTATCTAAAGCAAAACTAACAACTCATGTGGCTAAAAGCTCCAATCTTGCTTATGTGTTTGAATGCCTAGGACTTCATAATCACCTAAAGCAGGTGTGCTCAACCCCCAGCCTGTGGGCCAGGCCTGGCTCCTAGAGCCATGTTATTTGGCCCACAGGGCTCCTCACAGATGCTTGGGGCTTTCTGCAGGCTATGTCATGCTAGAGTGGGTTACTTCAGGGCAATGTGGGGCCTGATCCTGGCACATGAGGCTTGGGCAAGGGTGGGTTGGGGCCCCATAGTCTGATCCTGACATGTGTGGGCCAAGCAGGGACAGCATGGGGCCCTGGAGCCCAATTCCAGCTTGGCAGAGGCAGCACAGAGCCCCAGGGTCTGATGCTAGCTAGGCAGGGGTGGTGCAGGGCCTGATCCAGCCCATGGATCAGACTCACATCATTAATTTGGCCTGCAGGGCCAAAACCTTGAGCACCACTGGCCTGAACCAGTCATTTGCAACCAAGGTGCTGTGACATCCTAGGGTGTCTTGAGATCCTTTCAGGGGTGCCATGAGGTGCACACAGTATTGGCACTGTTAGGTGTATGTATCACTGCTTTTCAGGGCATGGAGTTGCCCTGTTATGCCACTGTTTTGCAGTATTGTTTATCTAACATTGTCCCTGTTTGAAGTTTGCCTTGACAACAGGTATTGGTTCATTTAGTCAGTTGCTCTATTTCATGAGTATGACAGGCTGTCATAGGAAGGGTTTATTTCTACACTTTCCTTTCATTTGTAGGTTGTTACTTCAGAAGAGGTAGTAGAGAATGTTTTGTAGCTTTGTCATCGAGGTCAATTTTGAAGGACGGGAGCTTGAATCAAATCTTGCAGAATGGAACAGGTTTTCAAAAACACTAATAGGAACATACATGTTGTCAGAGCTGATAAAACAGTATATTTTCTAGCACAGCTTCCTATCTCTAGTGATGCAGCCATCATGTACCTGATGCTTAAAAAGAAGGCTCAGGAAACACCATGATGTACAGTTATGGATGTAGATAGCAATGACTGGGAGTCATTTTTTAGAGTAGCTTGCCTCCATAGTTAGTTTCTAGTTGCAGAGATGGTGGTGTCATACTTAACAAAAGCTCTTCTCTAAGGCTTGTATCATATATGCGTGATTCTTGACCTCTCCAGTGTTTTGCTTGCTTACAAATTGTCTGATCTAGTAAGGTGCTTAACACCTGTGTGGCTTTAGTTTCCATGGCATCTTCTGTGATCATCACCTTGAAGGATCAGGTCAAAGACATTACTGGTTGAGTAACTGGATATTATAGACTGCATTTATACCAGTCTGAAATAAATCTGGTAAAACCACATATAGACATTCTGCTTGACATCAATGTGACTACAATTTGATTCTCTAGAGATGCAGGGAATCCAGCTGTCCATTTGAAGGCTTGTAATTTTCAAATACTCTGAAAATAAAATACTATCTGGATGGGTTTTGCATGAAAAATAAATCTATTCTAGAAGTGATTTCTTTTCACATTAGCCATTTACACACAGAGGGGAATGAGGGCTTCATACCATATTGTTCAAATAAAGTATTGAAAATTAGCTGTTTACTTTTAAAAACAGCATTTGTATCACATTAGTTTCTATGCAGCTGCTTTTACTAATAATGCTTTTGTGTCTCTGAACTTAATATTTTTGGTTTAACACATATTGGATATCAATAGGAAAATACACACATTCTTAGACATGAAAAATTACAATGGATGTGAGGCTTAAATCTGTATATTTATTACTGTTGTTCCAAGTAAGAGGTATATTTCAAAACTAGGAGTAGTTATACTTCAGTGGAAATAACTGAAGAAAGCAGCAAGTTGCTGCTTATCTGTTAGTGCAATCATAGCTATTTCTGTCAGTCTTTATGTGAAAAAGAAAGGGGAAAGATATTGAAAGGAGCACAACACACTGCTATAATGTTACTACTGGCTAAATGTGTAAAAGGAAATAAGTACTAGACTAGCACTGAGGGTAGTATTGAAGTATTTCCACTACTATACGATATCTATCGCTATTCTAAAACTATTTCTATTTAAGTTTCTTTTCAAGGGGTTGTGCATGATTTGTGTTTCACAAGTGTTGCAAGCATTACCATTATTTTGTGCCTACAAACACTGCAGTTAGTCAAATTCTAACATAATTACAAATAAAGATAAGATTGTCAGAATGGAGCAATGATTGTGGAGTACTAGGGCTAAGTACAGACAGTCAAAAAGCCTGAGGCTGGACTGATTCACTCTTTGCAGGTTAGTGTAAACTGCACAGATGAAATTGAAACAGAAGTGAACAGACATTTATCTTTGATTCAGGAAATGCAGTTAGATACCTGCAGTGGCTCAAGCTGAAAGCCAGGGCTCTCTGGCTGTATGTTCATTTTCTCTTCTTGCTGCCTCCAAGGTATCTGGGATTTGCAGTCCAGAATTACAGCAGCAGGACTCTGCAGGGTTCCTTATCTCTTCTTCTTACTGCTTCCAGGTACCTCTGGGATTTTTAGTCCACAGTTGCCGCCAGCAGTAAGTTTGAGTAGGGGAAGGGGTGTTTAACCCCCATCCCTGGTCCCAGATCCCAGTTTGGGTCTGCCTGGAGGGGCAGTCCCCACCCCTGCAGATTAGGCTGCATCCCCAGCTGGACTTGTCCCCCCACCATTTGTCAGCCAGCCCTCACTGCTTCAGCTAGGGAGCAGAGGAGTGGGGCCAGCCTTGCTCTCTGGAGCAGACAGCACAGCACAGCCCAGGGCTGCAAAATGCTGGAAGACTGTGATTTAACTTGAACCAGGAAGGGGTTTGGGACGGAAGTTTCATAAACTGGTTTGATCCAAATCTGTTAAGTCTGATACTACATTCAACCAGGTTTATCTTAAACCAGTTTCAGCCATTTTAAACTGGTTTATGTGCACTGAGCTTCTGTTCTGTTACAGGTTTAAATCAGTTTCTGATCACTTAAATGGGTTTATGTGTAACTTCTGTCTCTAGCCCAGGAGCTCAACTTTACATATATCACCCTCTTAACTGGTTTAGGTACCATGTTGTTCTGATACCTGTGTTCTAGTCCTGATTGTTGTTCCACCATGTTCCTGACATTTCTATCCCAGTAGCTTTAGCTCTGCATTCCACGCCCCCATGCTCCTTGTATCAGTGCACAAACATTTTAGTTGTTTCTTACTGAGCATGTTTTGTAATATCTTTATTGGACCAACTATATAGTTGGGAGGAAGTTTGATAAGCTTCTGGGCACAGATTACCCTTGTTTTGGTCTGGAGGAAGGGGTGCTTTGTGCCTGAAAGCTTGTCAAAGTTCTCTCCCAACTACATAGTTAGTTCAATAAAAGATATCACAAACAAAACCCTTGCTCTTTGTACATTTTTTGGACCATCACAGCTAACAACAATACTCCACCCCCACTACACATTCAAAATCACAGTCAGTGCAAATACAGTCCTTTCACTGAGTGTACTGCCTGACACTTGATGTCATCAACACTGGCTTCCTAATCTGACTATTTCTAATCTGTCTTCCTAATGTGACTCTCAGTCTCTCAGTCCAGATAGCCAAACACTATCTGGACTCTCCACACTATGGGGTGATATACTTGCCAGTTTTCTCCTCGTATGTGCTTTAACTGGTTCTTAAAATCGGGTCTTTGGAACTGCACTGGAAAGGGGATTCCAGCTAACGGTGGATGGCATGGTATGAACTACTGTTAAAGAAATAATATTTATGCGCCTATGTTCTTTCTTTTGCAGAACAATGGTTCACTGGCTTGGTGCCAGAATCACAAGCAATGTTCAAAGGTATGTTTTTTTGCTTTAACTACACAATAGCTTTGGGTAAGGGGGTGGGTAGGATTTGTTTGGTTATTTGGTTGTTTGGTTATTAGATTTTGTAATTTTAAGGTATCTTGACAAAATTTGTAAATGAGTTGACAACATTTTCTGTTTTGCTCACTGGAGACCAATAAGGCACATGTTAGAGGTAGGTAAATCCTAAACTGGTGAATATCAGCACAGCTCTGTGGCTGTCAGTGGAATTATGTCTGTTTACACCAAATGAAAAATTGGTCTGTAACTTTTATTCAGTGCTTTTTGAAGAGAGGAAAGCAAGGTTCCCAATCTTGTGAAAGTGAAGCCAGTCTCATTAAAGTATACCTCCAACAACCCTGAGGTGCTCCAACATTAGACACTTCATTCCATCTGGACATTTAACATCCAACATAACGCTGAATTTCTTTGACACAATTCTTTTACAAATCCCAGTGGCTCTACTGTTGCTCTTTCTCATGCTGACTCTTTGACCCCAAAAGCTTAGAGGGTAAGTGAGTTAATATCCAATTGATTCCACTGGACAAGAATCTTGCTAGGTTGCCTGGAGAGAAGCAACAATGCTACAGCAGCTTTAGAGGGTCAAAGTGGAACTACAGGGTCTAATCACTGACTGCTCTTTTCATAGACACATAATGGTAGATGAATCCATTCTCTGCCTTAGAAATTCACCTGAAAACTGTGAAGAATGCATAGTAAAGAACTGTGGAAAAAAGAGCCTCTAAAGCTCCATGATGGTGGACTCTTGCAATAATTTAGGCTTTGTAAAATATAGCTATCTGTATTTACTGTTTATTCCATGATGGATTTGCCATAAATGGGGTCAAACCACAGTAGAATGATAATGGAATAGATTGCTGGATAAAGAGATGTATTGTTTAGTTTTCATAGCCAAGCTCAGTCTGCCTCATGATGTCTAGACATTCTCATATGCAAAACATTTGTGCATTACCAGCTTAATGTAATTTGCCTAAATGATACTAACATGTGGTGATTCCTAATATATATTATATCACCATTTCCTCAATAAGAATTTTAGATTAGTTATTTTCTAATCCAATTTTTTTTGAAGTTACTGGCATCTTTCCCATTGATAATATTGAAGGTAGGTTGATTGTCATACTATGTGAAAACAAATGAAGAAAAAAGTATCAGTGCTAGCAGTGTTTTAAATTTGTTATATTTATACATCTGTAAATTGCATGTGAGCAATAGCATGTCAGTATGAGAAGAAAGAGTGAAAAGAATATCTAACAGTACATTTAACTTTCAGTACTTTGTCATCCTGAATTCTTAGGAAAATAAGTTTGATAGGATAACCTTACACAGTTAAATCTCACTATGCCCATAATAAAGATTTAATCAGAGTATGTGATGTATTATAATTAAAACACTTCTGAAAGAATATGCTGGGAAGTGGGGGACTTGTGCATTCTTTAGGTCACTTTGTGCCACTTTTCAATTTAATTGTCAAGGCTGATGCTATACCTCTGATATTCTTAGCAGCATATTTCAGAAATATACTTCCTCAATGGATTTTGCTTGCATAATAAAGAAGGAATTTAACAGTGCCCAACATCAAAAGTAGGGCAGAGGTTAAATGAACATCCATTTGAACTACAACCAAGTTCATAAAAACCATACAAGATATATCTGATCTAGAATGAATTTAAAGGGAAACTTTATATTGCATATGTTTCAAAATGAATGAATGTCACAAATTAAAAGAATTTGAAAATTGGAAACATAACCGATATTAAAAACTCATCTCATTGAATATAACTGTGCATGATAACTTGTTAGTCAGAAGGATAACACAACAGTAGGTTTGTCCTCTAAGAAGAAAATAATGAATTTTGCCAAAATCTTAATGGAGCTTAACAGCGGTGTATGTGAAGTATGGTAGTGTTTCCAGCAGGGTATGATTCATGATATTCTTGGCCAGTAGTTTCAAAGTAGTACAGACCATTTTTATCCAACTCTCATTTGCTGCACTGAACATCTCTGTGATTGCGGTTAAGTGAAGGCATTTTTTTAATACTTCAGACTAAAATTTTGAAAGCTCCTTCCCCAACCCTTGACTTCCACTATAATTTTATGCCCAGAGTCCTTACAAAGACATATGGAATGACTAACTAAGGCATACCTGATAGCAACAGATATCCAACTACCTTATTTTAGAGTTGTACTCCTAAGTTAAACACTGACAGAAGTTAATTTGACACTATAAGTACACAAGTACAGCCAAGACTAGACTGACAAGTGGAACATATATACAGGTAAGCAACAGGGGCCAGGGC